GGAGCCCGATGTGGGACTCGATCCCGGGACTCCAGGATCATGACCTGAGCCGAAGGCAGTCGCTTAACCAACTGAGCCACCCAGGTGCCCCAGGAACTCCCAATCTTAATGTTAATGCCTTGCTAGAGGAAAAAAACCACCTTAGCTTGACAATAGTCAGGGCTCCAGGATCCTGTAAGTCTTCTCTAACATATGAAAATACTTTTGGAAACTTCCTTTGTCTTTACTTCCCCCAACTCCAAAGTATATAATCAAGTGCTCCTCACAACCACAGTGCAGCAATTCCTGCGCAGGGGTCCTGTCCCCGTGCTTCAATAAAACCACATTTTAGCACCAAAAACGACTCAAGAATTCTTTCTTGGCGGTTGGCTCACGGACCGCACTTGAAACCGCATCACCTGGAGCCCTAACGCAGAGATCCTGGCGCGGTTGCTCGAGGGTAGAGCCCTGAGAGCTGGTCTGTTTAATAAACCCCGGGGGTGACCCTCACGTGTAGCCAGGATGGAGACCAGCCTTCAGGATGCTATGGACCACTTCCAGCTGCTTCTCTACTTAGGGCTCACCTCAGACCCTGAAGCCTGCCTACCTCTAGGGGCACTTCATCAAGGGACTCCAAAGCCACAGGCTGATTTCTACTCCGTAAAGAAAAACAGCCGGTCTCCCTTTATATCTGACTGATGCCCTGTTTGGCTGCAAAAAAACCCCCAAACCAAACCCAACCAAAACAAAAGCATTTGGGACAGCACGCAGGCACACACGGTGACGTATGCTTAAACATTTCAGTGGGGTGATCAGGAAGAAAAGACACAAGTAAGGGGACCGCGGAGTTTGAAGGTGTTCCTTCTCCTGTCACCCAAAGTCACAGCCAAGAGGGAACTGGCCCCTTCTTGTAGAGATTCAGTTGTTTTATGAATACTCCGCGTGATCATGGGCCACTGGAGTGTGGTAGGCAGGGCCACGAAGAAGTTTCTGAACTCATTTGGGAACTGCTCTAACCTGTGGGCAAGGAGGGAATTAAGGCTCCATTAGTTTTTATCATCACACCACATAACGGCTACAGTGAGACTATAAACTCTGCTGCTGTTAGTTTCCCCCAGTTTGTCAATGCATTTCCGTGCAGGCGAAGCTAGCTAGTCCTACACCAGCCCGGGGAGATGCTGCACAAATAATAGTAACTATTACCACCTCTACCATTACTACTACTGATACTATTATTTCAGACCATTGCCATCTATATCATTAGCTGCTGCCCCGATGAGTTGAAACACTCCAGGGAGCCCCTCCCTATTCGAAAAGACCACCCTTTTCACGCTAGAAATCCTACCACTGCTGGTTACCTTCTCTCTGTCTTATCCCTTGTGTTTTGAAAACGAAATGGGTCTGTTTCTGAGAGGAGGTGGTCCATTCAGTTCCTCATGCTTTGGAGTGAATTATTTTGCTAGATTGTCTCCTACTGATATGGAACAATGGGTGCTAAAGGAATCGTGGAATTTGAGAGAGAGAGAGAGATTCAGAGTGGGGACTGCAAGGGGAGGAGGAAGGCAAGGTGCCGAGGGCAGAGGCTAAGTTCATCAGAGAATGAACGGACGGTGCGGGTCCCCGGGCGGCAAGCCCTGTGGCAGGAAATCCATTGTTCTGTAGCCGGGTCACCTGCACTGGGCATTAGGAATGTCTGAAGCAGTGGTGGCCACAGAGAGGTCCCTGAGCATCTGTACTGCAGACTTCCTGGTTCCTCTGCCAGAGGGCTAGGCTTTCAGCTCTCGGAGCTCAAAGTACATTAAGTCAGTACCAAGGGAAATTTGCAAGGTCTTTCTCCCATCTGGCAGCTTCTCCAGTGTGCCTACACCTCCTCGTCCTGAAAAATCAAGGCAGTGACTAAATGTATCAGGTGTCAACATTTTCAACAGTTACCAGATGCCTCTCCCATTCTTTGGAGTATTTAAAGTAAAATACAGATGCAGCAAGTGAAATGTGCCTTGCAAATAGACGGGCTCAGGACAAGTGGCACGTAAATTAATCATTATTTTATTTTTTTTATAACCTAATATAGTCTGATAGCAAAGACTGAACCATAAAGCTTTGCCGCACCGATGTACCCACATTTTACTTTAATTATTTTTTTAGTGTAAAGATGAACACATAACACTGTCATTTCTTAAGGGAAGGACTGGATCTTGTTATGTGAAGTTTCTAGACAAAAAAGCCTCCCGCTCCAGAACAAACTTTTCCAGATCAGCCTGCACCAGCATGGTTCCTTAGGCATGGCTAACAGAGTTTTGCCAAGGCAAACACTGGCCTTGCATAATCAGAGTCTCTCTTTTTCTTTCTTTTCCTTTTTGACAACCTCAGATAAGTCAGTGTAGACCTCAATTTCCTTATTTGCAAATTGGAGGAAAGAAATTCCAGCTTCAAACTTGCGATCAGGGTTAAATGTGATCAAGAGTGATAACATATTTTTAAAACATTGGTTAATCATAAACTGTTATACAAAAATGAATCAGTATTGCTCTTTTAATTTATTATTATTATCATTCATCAGTATAAATGGGGGGCTGGAGAATTTCCAGTAATATCTCAGATCTAAAAGGAAGCTAAGCAAGATCAGAAATTGACACGGAACGATTAAGAGACAAACGGTTCTACACTGAGAAATAAAAAAGCAAAACAAAACAAAAACCCCAAAGACACAGAATTAGGTAATACAGAAGGATGTAGGACAGAGGCAGAGATGTGAGAATGACAGACACCAAAAGAAGAGACACAGAAAGAGAAGTTCCGAGTCAGACTCCAAAGCAAAGCCAATGACCTCATCCTTAGCTCTTTGTCGAAGAGGATGAGAGAAGGAAGGTGGGGGGCCAGCTTTTCTACAGGCAGGAGATACTGTGGGCCTAAGTCATCAGGTCATCCCAGCCAGGATCTTGTCTACAACCCAAGCATGACATCTGTATGCATATATTTTTGGAATGTTGTTCTAGAATAGCTAAGTTGGAGCTGGCATCAAGCCTAGTTATGTTTTTATAGTCTGAAGTTTGGGAAAAAACAGCCATCTGACATTTCCTCTCCCACCCAGTGCATCTCCCATTTTTACTTGGCCAAGAGGCAAAAACGTATATGCAAAAGGGCATCTGACATTCTTACCTGGAATGTTTATTTTCCCCTCCTGCTTCCATTCTATTGCGCTCCAATTAACATTAATCTCACTGCAGCAGTTCAAAGATACAGGATTGTTGTCGCACGTCACCTTCATTTCTTCAGTTGCCAAAATTCGGATGGGCATGACATCTATTTTTTTTCTGGACTCATATTCAAAAATATCTAATGTCAGCTTGCAAATATATTCACCTGCATAGAATACACAAATATATTTTTTTAAAAAAGATTTATTTGTTTATTTGAGAGAGAGAGAGCGTTCAAACGAGCCGGGCGGGGGTGGGGGGCAGAGGGAGAGGGAAACAGAGAATCTCCAGCAGACTCCTCGCTGAGCACAGAGCCTGACACAGGGCTCCATCTCAAGACCCCGAGATCACGACCGGAGCCAAAACCAAGAGTCGGATGCTCAACCGACTGCACCACCCAGGTGTCCCTACAATTGCATTTTTTCTTGTTACATATATGGAATTCCTTAGAAGAATGATAGCCTCATCTCATGTGTCGTGACAGTACTTCCCGAAGCATCGTTTTCAAAAGCATCCAAGACCTGCTCTAAACAAACCTAAAGAGACATTCAGGAAGTGCAGAAGGTCAACGCAGGTCATTTCTGATGCCACAAGTTAATGAGTAGAGAGATGTTCTAAGGAAGGAGCAGAAATCTCAGTCTTTGCTGTTAAGAAAAAAGGTGTGGTGATGAAAGGGGTAGAAAGGAAAAATTGGAAAGCCTCGGAGAATTAGAAGGTCATGGATGATTTTGGCATTCTATTTAACTCTGCGGCCAAATCAGAATCCACAAAGATGTAACAGGACCTATGTGTCTGCAACCCAACTTCTCTGTCAGGGAAAGAGAGATGCCCCTTCCTGACATCTGGGTTACAATGGGGTTATTAGATTCTAGAGTGTCAGGTGTAAAACTTCTGCTTCTGTGGGTGTTGGGAGGGAGAGTGGAAGGTGGGAGAGATTACAAGGGAATCCAAGAAAACTGCATGTGGAGGGTGATGGAAACGATATGTTCACTCTCCTGAGGAGGGTGGAAGCTTCACAAGTGCACACATATGTCAAAACTTACTAAACGGCACCCTTTAAATATGTACAGCTTATTATATGTCAATTCTATCTCAACAAAACTGTTTAAAAATTTTTAAAGATTAAAAACAAAAGACGGATTTTTGTCTCCATTTCCAACTCAAAAGCTCTTGGTAAATGTGGAAATCTGTTTTTGTCTCCAAGGATATATTTGCTTACTCATATGCCATGGGATTCACTTTTAATTTCGAAAAGTTGAGGCCAGTGACTTCTTTTCAAAGAGGAAAACACTATGTATATATATTCCAAGGCTTGCTTCTTTATGAGCTCTCTGTTCCTTTCCCCGCACCCGTTCTTGGATGGAAACCCACCTGCATCGCCCGGAGTGATGTTGTAAATCGTGAGGCTCGATATTGAGGTCACATTGTTGAGCACGGTGCTGTAGACCGAGAATCTGCTGCTGTTCTGCAAGTCAGAACGCCTTTCGACATGGTGCCAGGACACGTTAGAGGACAAAACTTCATTTTCACACACCAGATTTACCGTGTCCCCTTCAAAAATGATTTCTGGTATGATGGTGAACTTCGTTTCATCTGGAAACCCAAAGGAAAGGTATTAAGATCCCAGAGCAAATGAATGGAATTAAGACTACCCAGCGGGCACCCCCCACCACACAGGGCTGTAGTGCTTCTAGAAGGAGGCAACGCGTCCTCCTCCTTCCATCCCCGGACAGCTGGTGTCTGAGGCCCAAAGAGCTGCCACCTGCCAGATACCGGGGACAAGGCTTCCAGTTTGGAGTCTGTACACACTTAATTGGTCTCATTGGTAGTGATGTGGATTCCAAAGCTATTTTCAGTATTTCACATAGTCTGGTAGAAAAACGCTCACTTGTTTATAAAAAAGTCACACCAACTTATTTAAACCTCAAGTTTCTTTGCTAATGACTCAATAATATCAACTGCCTCTTGACAATAACGGGTATCTTGTACCACTGAAAGCTCTGTTGTATGTTTTTGGTGAATTATAAATGGGAAAAATAATTTCTTGTAATAAAGTCTGTTAAGAATTAAGAATTTTTTTTAAAGACTTCATATCCATGGGCCCTTAGGAAGGAGAACTTTATAGACACACAGGTCCAGATTTGAATCCTGGTTCTGTGCCACACACAGCTGTGTGGCCCTAGGGAATTTACTTAGGCTCTCTGAGCCTCAGCTCATTGTCTGGAAAACAGGAGCAGTGAGAGCTACGGAGAGGTGATTTGGGGGAATAGCAGCTATTATTGTTTTCATGGTACAAATCTGGAGAACCATGGCATTAAGTCATTTCACAGATAGAAATAAAACACAACATTTGCTTTTTGTGTTTATGGTTGTCCTTTGTTTACACAACGTGCGTTTTTCCCCTTTAAGCTGTGTTTCTTATTGTACATCCTTCATGAATTCCACACGTTGAGGAAATCAGAGGTGCTGGATAAGGGAAGCTCTATGAGGGTTGTTTTGCATGAGCTCCATGCTCAGGCCAGACCCTCCCCATATTGTCAACATGGGATCACAATACCGTAAAATTAATTTCAGGAGCTCTGATGTTCTAGTCAAAGTACCAAGGGATCTAAATATTTCTTATCACTTTTTTTAGGCTCCTGAATTAAAGACGATTTTAAAATATCATACCCAACTGTTAAGAAACAAGACCTCCTGGGAATATTTAATGTAGCGAACTGACTCAGAAGTCATACAGACTTATGTTGCTTACTATGTGTTCTTGAGCAAATTATTTACCCTCCCTCCGCTTCTAGTTCCTTCCCTATAAAATGCAGATAACAGTACCCATCTCACAGGATACGTGAGGACACAATTTGTGTAACACGCTGGGCTTAACACAGAAAAGATACAATAACAATGTGTCTCTCTTCATCATCACTGTGGCTAACAATAATGATTAGTAAGACCACGGGTATCATGTGGTTATATGGAATTGACCATGAATTTATGGGCAGTGATGAGAGAAAGGGGCACTCTGGTTAAGCGCCCCTGCTAATTAATCAAACATTAATTATTTTGAGGATAAATACACAACCAAATAAATGGAAATATTCTGAACATTGATTGCCCTGTGCCCTTGGTATTTCATAAAGATTTAAAATAACTTTCTGCTACCAACTCATTCATTCAGCTTTTCTCCTTTCTTGTTCTCTTCCTCTTCTCCGCCCCCCAGTAGAATTATAATTAAAGCAAAACAAAACCCAATCTCTTGACCTTTTGGATATTTATACTCTAGGTAAATAGCAGTGACGCTATGGAGAGCAGGATGATGGGGGAGCTACGTTCCTGTTTATTGCTCGGAAGCTGTGCATATCACAGGATCATTCTGGTCTTCCAAGGAGATGGTTGCAGAGATGGATGAAGATGCTCTGCAGAAATGGTGTTGAGCTCCATTCACAGTGACTTCATTGCTCTTTGGAAGGAGAAGCCGCAAACTCCAAAGCACTTTTGGGAACCTTACTGTCAGCAGCATGTTTCTGGACTGACAGCCGCTGATCAGTAACACTGCTAGATACTGACTCCTTTAAATGGTTGACTATCCTCAACACAACTGAAATTTGGGGGGAGGAGTAATCACAACCGAAGCTTACCTAGACTGGAGCCTGATGTTCACCTACGCCGTCAGAACCATAAACATAAGGAATTTTTCAGGGTAAAACATGTGTTGCTTGGGGGTGGTGTTGGGGGTCAGGAGGGAGTAGCATTGCTGGGTGCCTTCCATGGGAGCCCACACTTTTAGGCCACTTACTCCCCTTCCTTTAATTTTCCAGTTTTCACCTGTGTTGCTGTCTTAACGTATTCTGAATTTTTATTTTGCTTTTTCTCTTGCTTATGTTGTAGCACCTTCTTATAATTATGTATGTACCTTTCAATATTTTGTTTTTAAAAATGATCTGGTGTCTAACAATACCAGAGAATGTAAAGACAAAACTTATAAACCTATTGTAAGGATGGCTTAACCCTTGAGAAGGGGTGCCCTTTCTCCCAGGTGTGCCTCAAACAGTCCTTTCAGAGCCCTCCCTGCTGGGGGACAGTGTCCCTCCAAGGAGGAATCACCTTGAGTCTGGAACCATGGACTGGAGTTAGCTAGAACATCCACCAGCCAAATCTCTGCCCAGCTGGCTATTTCCCAAGTAATAATAGGTCCACCCACCTAATGACACAACAGAACACAACTCTGTACCCATTTGTAAAATGGGGGAGAACATCTAACACCCCAGGATTTTATCACTGCTCTATGTGATCCCAAGCAGGGGTTCTCAAACTTTCCCGTGCATCAGAACCACCTGGAGGGCTTGTCGAAACACCAACCGCCCTGGGGCGATGGGTCTGGGGTGGCCCTAAGAATCTATCTTTCTAACAAGTTTCCAGGTGGAGCTGATGCCGTTGGTCTGGGGGCCACACTTCGAGAACTACTGCTCTAAAATAACATTATCAATTGTTTAATATCAATGCATTTCATGAATATCCCAACCCCCACCACAATGGTAGTTTTTGGGTGTTTGGGGCCTTCTAATTTTTTATTAAGAATCCATAAACCCAGATGGCTCTGTGACCCTCTGGTCAAATCTCTCTCCCCTGCAACGCCCCCTCCCAACTGCAGTGACATTAGCCTGGTTGGGAGGCTCTGCACCAGCGCCTCCGATGGGGAGGGGGCGGTGGGCACATAAGTCTCTGTGTTGAGAACAAGACAGTCTCTGTCCATGGAGGACATTGTAATGGAATTTCCTAGTTTTAAGCATAATGATAAATACCATTACTTTATCTAAATAAAATCCACGTACAGGAAAAATGAGCAGATGTCCTACTTACTGCTAGTAACTGCTTGAAAGGAGCTGTAGTCCATTTTGTAGGTCTGATTAAGGTTCTGCATTACTTGCTCGTTTGCTTTATGCATTAATTCGGGTGATGGTGTTGTCGTCTTGACCTCATATGTCACAACCACACTTCCGGGCCTGGATGGAGACCACTCTGTTCAGTAAGGCAGTGACTGACCTGGAAGAGTCTAGATCCTTATGGTGTATTTGCATGGGAGAAACAAAACGGCAGGAACAGCCTGGGCAGTTCTATCTACAACGGTTCACTCTAATCAACCTGTTATTAAGCTCTAGTTGAAAGCCCGAGGCAGGGCTCACACACTCAAATGGCTGCAGACAGGCGACATAAATGAACAAAACAGCCAGACAGGAATGAGTGGAGTGAATCACAGAAGCTGGTCATAGGGTGGCAGGCACAACACAGAGACTGTTGTCACACGGTCATGCTGGCCCAGGGTTACCAGATACGCTGAATGCCAAGGGAAGCCAAAAGCCTGAACGTTTCTCTGAACATTCTTTATTTGTAAAATTGGCAACTAACTTTTTGAAACCCTGTGCTAACCCGCTCACGGCCGCCACGGTGCCCAACTCCAGGGGGAGCCGTCCACACAGCAGCGTGCAACTGTGTGCTTGTGGCTGGCGGACGACTTTTCTTGAATAAAGGCATCATGCATGACATTATTTCATTTTTGTATCTCAGAACTCGCCAGACTGCAAACTTACCCCGTATCTGTTTGCAAAATTCTTGCATGCACAGAATAAACACAAGGCTTTTGCTCACTTTCCATCTAAGTAGGTACATCTCTAGGGAACAAGTTTCTGTTCTCAGCATTGTCTCCCTCTTTAAGCCCCAGCAACCTGGTATTGTCTACACTTCTACCAAAGTGTTCCTGCTGTGTGCCCACATGATGCCCCCCTAATGGGCTTTTTCTCCTTCTCTAACGTATTGGTCTCTGCCATTGGGTGGAAATGACCCGATTACAGCTTCTTTTTCTTTTTTTTTTTCAAAATTTTATTTATTTATTTGGGTGAGAGAGAGCGAGAGCACAAGCAGGGGGAGTGGAAGAAGGAGAGGGAGAAGCTGGCTTCCTGCAGAGCAGGGAGCCCGATGCGGGGCTTGATCCCAGGACCCTGGGATCATGACCTGAGCCGAAGGCAGATGCTTAACCAACTGAGCCACCCAGGCGCCCCCCGATTACGGCTTCTTACCTGAACCCTGTCACAGTCACCAATTTGAAGCCTGGTAAAATACTGTAACCTTTCCAGAACTGGAAAACAAAGTAAGACAAGTGTCATCGTATCAAGGTCCAGTGAGAGATAAGTCAAAAGATTTAAAGCCAAGTAAAAAGCACATATTCTTTATGACCCCAGCCAAACCCTTCTCCTATATATTTTAATAGTGCTGGCCCAGGCAGATCTTTGAAGAAGTAATTCCCGTCTGCCTATTGCAGGCTGGGTTCTCCAAGAAGCAAACACCAGATTACATGTGCAAAAAATTTTACTCAAGGAGATGCCTAGCAAAGAAAATGGGGAGGTTTCTCTGAATACCGAGCCACAGGAGACTTATTTTGATTCAAGTCACATCTGCAGGCAGATGTTATACGCAAAGCACTGTGGGTGCAGAGCACTGTGCCAGGTACGTGGATGGGTGGGATCCAGAGATTAATATGCCATTCTCTCTTTCCTCCAAGGTATATAATTGAGTGTGCTGTGTGTGTGTGTGTGTGTGTGTGTGTGTGTGTGGTAGCTTCTCGTGCTGTGCAGAACTATTACATGCCAGATATGCAAATCAGATGTCCAAGAGCTCTTCAGCATTTCAGCATGGCACCCATGGAAATGAAAATAATTTCTGTGGTATAGAAGGGTAAGTGGAGGCGCTCCTGGCCTGAGGCAGGGGCTTGGCCGCCCAGAAAACTAAGGGAAGTCATCATTTCAACCCACCTGTAATAATTTGTAGCACCAATTGGGAAGCTCTACTCCAAATGAGCTAATTTGAGCAAAGCATTTAGGCTCAGATGAATTAATCCAATGTAAAGCACTTAGAATAGTGTCTGGCACACAATTAACACCCAGGGGATATTCTTTATTTTTATATGAGTCAATTTAAATCTGTCGTAATTGAGAATGCGTCGGTACCTTTAACATAGAATGGTTTGAAACCCTCAGTACCAGCCTTAGGCTGATCTGCCCAGAAGATGTTAGGGGCTTCATCCAGGCGGTTTGTGAAAACAAATAGAAATGCACCATCAGGCACTTCTAGACCAGGTTCTTGGACCTTTGAATAGGATTCAGTGAGTTGATGCCACCAAATCTTCTCTGAATCAATTCTACCCTGGGAAGAAGTTCCTCCTATAGGTCAAGATGATGTCAAATCATCCCCCGAACACTGTTTGATTTGAGTACTTCTTAATTCATCATCCCAGAGGTATAGGAATAATTTTGGTGTCCACATTCATAAATTCTGACAAATCCAAGCAATTTATCCACTGTAAATGCAACAGATTCAGTTCAGCCCAAAGCTTGTTGGTTAAGAGGTTCCCGGGGCCAAAACCTACCGCTATTTCCAAGTCAGTCTTGTAGGACCTATAGAGAGCAGAGGAAGTGTTCTTGAGGTCTTCTTGAAAGCCCACATTGAGTCTGACTGACATTCTTAGGGTAACATCTGCTGAAAAAACGCAGGGCAACATTTTAAAATCTCATGTTAGCAAGTGAATACACACAGGACAGAGAAACATTTGCTTGAGTTGATATTAAATAGCCACTCAACAAAGAAACATTTAATGAACAGTTATTTACCTCCTTGGAGCTGGCAGAAAGGTCCCTTGAGAGGTAGTCCTTTAAGGCAACCACAGTGATGCCCTGCAGGGACACTGTCATGCTCTTGACAAGTGAGATTTTGGAGGCACTTTTCCTGAGGCCACCTGTAGCCTGTCTCACAGGAGCACCAGATTTCATTCCCAGTAGGTCTGCAGACTAGCATTAACCAGAACAGCAAGGAGAGAGAAGGTGGTCACCACCTTTACATTTATAGACTGTAAGTATTTACACTTGCAGAAAATCCTAGCTTGACTCCATATCGCCCTCTGGGAAGTTCAATAGTATTACATGAGATTCACGTGATTCCCATTACGCCTCACCATGCTATCAGGCACGGCCACCTAAAGGATGATGGCTTTGACTATCTTAGGGGATGCCTACAATGATACCATGATGAACAGATTCCTGGACATGAAGTGTATGGTAGCCAGTTTCCAGGATGGCCCCTGTCCACCCCTGTTTCTGAGTATTGACACCCTTTTGTAACTCCCTCTCATACTGTACTAAGGCTTAGTCTGTGCGACCAACAGAATATGGCAGAAGTGATGATATATCATCTCTGAGATTAGGATATAAAAGACACTGGCTTTCCTCTGTTATCTCTCTCTCTCTCTCTCTCTCTTCTTCTCTTTCATCATTTGCTATGGGGGCAGCCAGCTGCCCCTGCATAAGGACATGTCATGGAGAGACTGACATGGTGAGGAACAAAAGTCTCCACCCAACAGCTACTAAGGAGCTGAGTCCTGCCAACAACCACATGAGTGGGCTTCAAAGTGGATTTTCCAGCCCCAGTCGAGCCTTTAGAGGATTGCCACTCTGGCTGACAGCTTGGCTACAACCTCATATAACCTGAGCCTGAGCCACCCAGATAAGCTCCTCCTGAATTTCTGGCCTTCAGAAACTATATGATACAATAAATGTTTATTGTTTTAAGATGCTAAGTTTTGGGCTAATTTGTTAAGCAGCAAAAGATAACAAATACAGAGTACAAATACGACTCTGCCTTTTACATTTCTAGTCAAAGGTGAACAACCAAAACAGTCACTAATCCCATTGGGGACATTGGAAAATGCTCTGAAAACAGAGTGTTTTGAATTTATTCCTAAAATTCAATCAAAGTCATAACACTGGGAGCTGTCTATTCTAAGAATCAGCTCCTAGGCAAAGGCCCACAGAATGACTACCCAAAGGAAAGCCATCAAATCACTGTTCCCAAAATAGGAGGGACACCCAAGCTCTACTGAATCCATGAACACTGATGCAGTTCTGTTCTTCAGCATTGGCAGGAAGTGGCACCCAAAAGGAGCTATGAAGCAACCATTTCAGGTTCCGCTAGTGCATATTAAGAATAAAACATTGGAAATCTATAAAGAACTCATCAAACTCAACACCCAAAGAACAAAGAATCCAATCAAGAAATGGGCAGAAGACATGAACAGACATTTTTCCAAAGAAG